CCCAAATTTATTCTGTAGTAGGACATCAGCCTAAACATATAGCCTTCATCAAAATATTGTACATAGGACTGCAGAAGCTAAGTTTGTACAATATTTTTGATCCACCTAATATCAAACAGCCTTTTATTAGAACAAATAAAATAAAATAAACCAAAACATAAGACAATACAACAATAGACCCATGAATTGTGGGTTTTATTTCAGTTAGAAGTTGTCCTACAAATTCAGGTCTTGTCTGAGAATGACGGTGCCCTTGGCAAGCCATGGAAGCTAAAACTAAAGAAAATTACTTCTTACGAAAAACAATTAACCAGTGGAATGGGTTGCCTTCAGATGTTGTGGGTGCTTCATCACTGGAGGCTTTTAAGAAGAGACTTGACAATCAGTGGTCTGGAATGGTAGGGTTGGATTAAAAGACATCCAAGGTCCTTTCCAACTCTATTATTCTGTATTAGCTTCATAAAATAAAAATGTTAATGGAAGAACAAGGACCAAAATGTTGATGCTCCCATTAAGTCAGCACTGATAACACCTTATTTCTGGGGTCTCTCAAGAAATGTCATGGCCATCTGGCTATCAGTTGGCAAAAATCAAATTTGCATGAATAGTTCAATAAATTCAATAGGAGAAAGTGGCAGTTCAGCTTCGTTGTGTCTCAAATGATTTTTTTATACTGTTTCATTTGGCATAGTTTTGAAGACAAGTAGAAATCAGAATAGCCTTTCAGAGCAAAGCTATTATTCATTGCTTTTTTTAAAAAATCATGCCAACAATGCAATAGAATGGTCTATAATTAGGTATTAAAATCCCATATAACTAGAAGTACTCTTGGCCAAAGGGAACTGCTGTAGATAATTTCAGGTGATTTAAATTAGTTTTTCCAGCCAAAACCAAAATATTTAAAATTGATAGATAAGATAAAATGCTGTTAATTTGTTCCATTGATCATTTGAAAGTGTTTAGAGATTAATACATGGATTTTCAAGGTTTCACACTTTCTGTTCTTGAAAGAACTTTTGATGTTTTAAAAATTTAGATAAGCATCTTTAAAAACTGAAAATAAAAACTTTTATCAGTCTTTCCCAATCTGGTACTTTTCTAACTCCAAAAATTATTGTCCATGCTGGTGGAATTCTGGAAATTTAAGTCCCAAAATGTGAAGAAAATGGCTGAAAGACTGGGACACTTAAACAAACAAACAAACAAACTATTCCTCTAACTTGCAAAAAAACCCATCACAATCTTGCTCTTCTCTCACAGCAATTTTACAACATCTGTCATGTAAGAATCACCACAAGCTCTACTGTGACCATGCAGGCTAGGGCTGAAATTATTTTTCAACTTGTTGTGTTGCTGTTGTTATAATAATTCTCCTATTTAATCTTTTCATGACAATTAAAAGCTACTATGCGAATGGTTTAGGACTGGTATAATTTTTTTCTATTTAAAAAAGTCTACCATCAATCTACCCCAATATACTTCAATGAAACTTGTAAGTAGAGTATGGTTGGTGCTCTGATAGTATGACATATCATTAAGAAAGAAGAGCAGGATAAGAGCCAGACACAATTGGTTTCATGGAGCAGTACTCTGTGGAAGCATGCCCAGCCATTTCATAACTCAACACCTGTAGATTTGGCCCTAATCTATCTTGACTGCCGAATGCATAAGAGCTTCATTGGCTTTACATAAGAACAGAAAGGACAAAGCAGAATCAAATGTATGGAGAAGTAGATGGAAACTAAGAACTGTGGGCCAACAATCAGGGCTCATCAGTCCTGGTTATGTTTGGATGAAAATTGAATACTTTCATCCAAATACTTTGAATACTTTCATCAGTTGAGACTTTCAAGAAGAGATTGGACTGCCATTTGTCAGAAATGGTGTAGGGTCTCCCGCTTGGGCGGGGGGTTGGACTAGATGACCTATAAGGTCCCTTCCAACTATGATTATCTGTATCTGTATCTGTAAGATACTTGTGTGTATTTAGCTGTAAGTAGTCAACCAGCAGATCTTTTGACAGTCCAATAAGGTGTACCCATTTGTCTGTCCTGACTAGTCTTTTTATTCAATTTCCTGAAAACTGTGGCTGTTTGTTTGAATCTACTCTGTTTATTGTACCTAGGGTGTCAAGAAGGATCTTCACATATTTCAAACCCTGGGGATGGACTGGATTAAGACTCTATCTATTCAGTTTGATTGTGAGTATCTCTACAAATTTCAGTCTCGGATGGTTAACAATTTTTCTGAAACATCTGGACTAAAAACGGCAGAGATGCTGGTTTTGATTTATGCCATTACTTCAAGAAGATTTCTGGGAAATATTGTCCTCTTCAAATCAAACAAGAGCAGTCCAACAACATCTTACTCAAATCTATTTGAACCTATTCAGGTGGACTGCACTTATGTTAACAGCCGGTTTGCTGGTTGTGAGCGCGCACCTCTTTGGGGCTGTAACACAGCTTCAAACATGCAGCTAATCTACTCAGGCAGCTCCGGTGATTACAGCAGGGGCAGCGCTGAACTCAGCTGGGCAGCACGGGCAGGGGGAACAAGCAACAAAGTTAGTGATATATGGAAAGGATACCGCAGGGGTGGATGGGCAACCCCAGCCAGTGATCACAACTACCGGTTTGCTCGAACCAATGTGACCAGGCAGCAGCCGACCACTGTATTCAACATCTAGATTACTAGGAAAATGCTATAAGGGTCCTCTGAATTTTCTATATTTATTTTTCCATAGATTTACTTTTATTTCTACAGACAGGTAAATGCAGAAAATTCAGTGGACTTGGCTACACTTTCCTAGTAATTTAGGTATTGGATAATTTGAAACATATCTGAGTCAGATCACACCTTGAAGTACAAATCAAATCAATAGGACAACATTATAATAGCTTCTTAGACTTCCTGGGCAATTATTAAACAGATAATGAACATATTTGATTAATTTGTATCTTTTGTTCATCAATCCAGAGTAGAACTTTGTATATTTCAACCCAGTGAAAAATAGGCTCAGGTTGCTACTAGTATTTCCTATATTCTGCCATTAATATACTGTATGTGAACAAAACTTTCACAATTCCCTTGTATTAGATGAGGGGTCACCAACCTTTTGGACTTCAGGGACCACCAAACTCATACTTTTAAATCCCAGACTACTAATATGATTTTTTTTAAAAAAAGATAATATATTTAATATTTTTTTTAATTTTTATATTAATTATAAATTTAATATTAAAAAGTAATTATATATATATAAATGCTTATTTAATTATAACAAAATCATAAATGCTTAATCATAATTGTGGGGCAGAGCAAAGGAAAAGGAGGGGCCTCTCTCATCCTTTGGGAAAAAAGAGGGGCCTGGAGGCTGGGAAGATCTGGATGGGGAGGACCGACTCCCCCTCAAACGGAAGGAAAGCAGAGCCCCCCCCCAATCTGGTCTCCTGTCATTTCATATCTCCTCCAAGGAAGAGGAAACCTCTCTCTCCTTTGCCAGGTGTGGCTGCCTGGAGTTGGCGGAGGGAAGAAGGGCTGGGCTGGAAGTGCCGAGGAAGACGGGTTCCTAATAACCAGGCAACACCGCCCCTTCAGCCTCCGCACATGAAAAGTCCCCCCCCCCCGAGGCTAAGCTCCAGGATTCTCCTGCTGCTTCCAAGCAGAGAAGGGTCCCTCCCTATGTAGAGGCCAAAAGGGGGGATGTCGAGCCCAGCAAAGCTCTTACCTGCACAAACAGGCTGGTTATTAGGAGCCCGTCTTCCTCAGCGCTCTTTTGGTCTGGGCATTTGGTCTCCCCCCACCCCACCCCATGCCAAAGGAAAGCCAGCCAGGCTTCTTCTTCCCTCCAACCCTCCCCCCTGCTCCCTTCCTCCCACTCAATCCTACTTCAGGACAGAGGAGAGCATGCTGGAAATGTGTGCTGGCATTTCCAACACACATTTCTCTGGTGCTCGCCCGCAATTCTTCGTGTTCCTCCAGCCCTGGCTTGCTGAGGGGGGGAGCACCCCTGATGTCTCTGCTGCCCCCCACATGGCCCCATCCATCGCTGCCTAAGGAAGGCACAGGAAAAGAAAGCAAGCAGAAACATAGTTCTCACTGAGGCGAAAGAGCGGAGATCGGCACAGACAACAAAAAGCAGCGCTTTCAAAGGTGGCTGTTTCCATCTTCTCTTGCCTGTGCCTTCTTCGATCTCCACTCTTTCACCCCAGCGAGAGCTATGTTTCTGCTCGCTTTTCCTGTGCTTTTCCCGGGCAGTGATGGCTGGGAGAGGGGGGCAGCAGAGCAGAGCGCTGAAAGGATGAGAAAACTGATGCCGCCCCATTCTGGACCTCTGAACTGGATGGTGAGCACAGACTTGCCCACTCCACCTCCTCCCACCACCAGCAGCCAGTACTTTCCCTGCCCTGGGCCATTCCTACAGCCCACAGAAGAGTCCAGGCCAGGAGAGGTGAGCTGGAAGGTGTGGGAGTGCCACAAAAATGCAAGAAGCACAGTGCTCCTGCACCTTCTGGCCATCTGCATTGCTGCTTCAGCCTGCCTGTGCCAGTAGTCCCCTCTTGCTGCAACAGCACCATCACCTCGTCCTGGCTGGCGAGGACTACGCTGCTTTTTTCAGGTTTACAGGTGGGGGCCAGCGGGTGGGTGGGCCTGTGGGTGGCACAGCGTTGTGTTCCCGTGCAGCCTGGATTAATTGCTTTGAGGTGGACATTTCTCTGTGGCCCACCAAAATTTTCTCACGGACCACCAGTGGGCCATAGCCCACCGGTTGGCTCACCGGTTGGCAGCTGCTGTATTAGATAGCTAAGCATTGTCTGCAATAAAATAAGAAAAACCATTTTCTTATGCATTATAAAAACTATAAATAGAAGAAGAAACATTTAACATTAACAGCTTCACACCATTTCTCACCTTCCATTGAGATTCAGATGCTTCTATGTAAGAAAGTGAGTACAAAGATATTAAATGAAAGTAATAATAATCAAACTTAGTGTACCTACTTAGGATGTCGAATGTCTGGCAGTGATCGTTCCAAGGCTATATTGTTGCTTACAAAAATATTGAAACCGTTTTCCCGATAAGCAGAATCATCACTTTCTTCTTCTGTGACAGGATATGGCTTCCCTTGCTCACCTTTCCCTGAAACGGTATTAAATCAAAATGTGATCAGGGATGAACGAGATCTCAGAAACGGTTAGCAGTTTTTCCTGTCAATTAGAATGTGGCAAGTCTGTGCCAACTCAAACATGAACTTGACAATTCTCAAGCTGTCTTTCTATATCATAAGGTGAATTTTTCCCCATCTTAAGCAGGAAAGTAAGGAATGACAAGCAGGAATTTTGGCCTATTATATTAAGACTTATTTTTACACAGAAGTATTGTAACAATTTGTCTGCGTTATTATTATTGTTAATTTTCCTAAATACAGCTGTTCAATCAAAGCTGAAGTATTTTGTGGCATTAAAAATATTGTAAAACTGTCCGTTCATGTATATATGTTTATATGTATGTATGTATGTGTTCTATCCACACATACTGATGGATACAAAAAGCAATAGAATTTTGGTGTAATCCGTTTTATTAACAGTTCTTGAAATATACTGTACAGTATTGTAAAGCCAGAAAGTTAAGTTTCTTGAAAGAAGTTTTGCTCCAGTAGTTTGTTATCAATATTAAATGCTAACTGGAAAGGACGAACCCTTATTTTTTTTTAATTTAATGGTATAGAATTAGAAAATAGTCAGAATGGACTAACCATTTATATGAATACAGGATGGGTATGGCTACTTTAAGAGATGAGGAAATGACCACAAATGTGATCAGGCAGCTTTTCCTTCCGAAGTATTAAGAAAAATGCAGAAGATGATCAATCAAATATAATTTAATCTACTTTCCTATAGTTCCAGTACTTTTTTTTATCAAGGAAAACCATGGATAATGCATTTACTTTCGTAGCAAAATAAAACCTTATTTTACAATTATACAGTTATTGTAAGGCACTCAGAGTCACCTTATCAAGGAGATGGGCAGCATATAAATTTAATAATTGAAAAAAAATAACTGACATTAACTTTTTAGAAAGCCATTTGAAGAAGCAATGAAAGATAATGCATTCAGCTAAGGTTTGTGCCATAGCAGTGGTGATTAAAAAAAAACAACATTAGACTTGAACATAACATAAACACACTTCATTTCAGCTGTGAATAAGCTTTTATTTTGGATTTCCTTTTCTTTTTTTCAAGTCTGAGACAAGTTCGTGCATCTTTCTTGGCAATGTTTTTTAGAATATGGTTTGCTGTTGCCTTTTCACGAGAACTGAGAGAGAGAGCAGTTGGGCAAAGGTCACCCAGCTAGTCACGAACCCCCAGTTTCTAGCCTGATGCCTTAACCATTACATTAGACTTGCTTTCTTTACTCTTACAGATTATACTTCCTCCTCCAGGATATCTGATCCCGTTTCTGATAGGTCAGCTTCCCCATTTGTTTAAAGTTTTTCTGTATATTCCTGTCATCTTTCTCTGATTGCTTGTTGGTCATACAACTCCTGCCCATCTGACCACAGCCTTTCTTGCCATAAAGAGATTTCTGGCTTTCTTTACATAGGTGAAACAATCTCTTGTATGACCTCTCATGGTAGCTTCCTCTAGTTTCTTACAATGCTTAGCCCAGTAATGTTCTTTATCTTTTCTTGCCTCTTTTTGGAATTTTGCTTTTAAGCTTTATATTTCTTTCCTATCACCAATGGCTTTTGCTTTCCTTTTCTCTTCTGCAGCTTCTGTTGTTCTTCTGATATACATCTGACCAATTTCTTTTGGTTTTTTTGTATGTAATATGTTCATGGCTTACTTCTTTTTGTGATGTTAAGCGGTTCAAATCTGTTCTTAACTTCAATTGCATATGCCGGGTGAATCTACTCAATGTCAAATTTCTGAATCGAGGGTGGCCATTTGACACTGTAGCATCTGAACTTTACCTTTGCAACTGAGTTATGATCTACGTCAGGCAACATTTTCACAACGAGGATGGAACTTTTCCACTTTTTTTGGCAAAATATGTAGTCAATTTGTTTTCAGTGTTCACTATTTGGTGAAGACATTGCTTGGGTTATTCAAACTATGTATTCATTATGCTTAGCTATTATTTGTGACATAGCTGAATCAGTTGTTCTCCTGCTTCATTTCATTCACCAAGGCCAAACTTGCCCATTATGCCTGTTTTCTCCATTTTTCTCACTTCAGCAATGAAATCTCTAACAGCATTGCTAATGTCTTTCTTTGATGTTTGTTTCAGAGTTTCCTTAATTTCAGCATAGAATTCTTAGGTGTTCTCTACTGCTGAGTCTGTGCAGTGGAAGTGTAAATTTGCAGAATTGCCATGTTGTGAAGTTTTTCCATTGATCTGTATTGCCATTACCTTATCACTGACTGTTCAAAAACTTTCTATAGTTCTGCCCACTTTTTAATGCAGTATGAAACCCACTTCTCTTCTTCTGTTGGTTTGAGTGCCAGAATAGTATATAATGTGACCATCAGAGTTGAAGAAACCACAGCCAGTCCAATGAACTTCACTGATGCCTAGTATATCAATGTTGAGCCTATTCTTAATGCTATTTCTTATCAGCTGTTCTCTGGTTAAATATAGTAAGTCCAACTCCAAAGTTGGTCACCTAAAAATCCAGTTATTTTGCAATTAAATGTGATAAATCCATTCCCAAATGTTCTTCAATCTTCTTATGTAAAACCAATTTATCAATTGTCACACCGTCAAGTTTCTGCTACTATAAAATATTGCAGGTTTGAACTTCAGAGAAGGGTGTGGGATAAACTCAGTTCTAAGTCTGCAAATTTTAATTCTGTAAAGATCATATTTCTTTCCAGTGAATCTACTGCTTTCTTTTGTGAGTCTAATTTATCTGTAATTAGATGCATCTGAATATTTTCACAACCACTGTCATTTCATCAAACTTTTAAAAAAGTATTGCATATTATCAAACAGTATTTTTTCAAGTATCAACCATATTTGCTCGTCTGTAATTGTTACATTGTTGCTCTATGTAACTTGGCAATGATAGGCAAAAGAACGTAAGAATCTTCAGAATGAAAAACAGCTTAAAAACAACACAGATATTTCATGGATATTGTGATCCAAAATGAAAAGATTTAAAAAATAATCATCTTACAAATTATTAAAATGTAAAAACCCTGTAGTGTGAGTCCAATATAAATGTAAATCAAGTGAAAACACTTGAAAACACTTTCATTACCCCAGAATATGTGGTGTTTTCCTTACAAAAAAGCAAAAGTTATTCAGAACAACTTTTCTAAAAAAAAGGGAAAGAGAAAAAAAACAGATAATGTTCACTATGGAGTTAAAATAAATAAACATTCAACCAGCTAGTCAACTTTTAAAGATAAAAAACAAAATAAAACAAAAAAAGACATGAAACCCAGGCCTGCTTAAGTCCATGAGTGTCCGAAAGCTGTCTTAAGTGGTCCCTTAGCATTTAAGCACTCCTAAGCGCTTCCATTCAACACAGGAGCAGCACTGCCAAAGAACCAGCTTTGGAAGCAAAATTGGAAGATTGTTGGCAGGAAAAAGAAAAGTTCCTACCGTTATTGAGGAGGAGTTCATTTGATTGCTCTTTCTGATTGCCAGATATTTGAGACAGGCAAGATCAAGAAAGAGGCAAATGCTAGGAATGCTTTTAATTGTAATAAGGAAGAACAGCAAAATCTTGAAGGTTTCTCTCAGACCATTTTATATAAGACAACATTAAATCAAAGTTATTTTGACCATATTTCTCATTCTTTTCTTTTTCTCAGGACTGAATAATGTTGTCTTGAAGCCCTAATTATCCTGCGCATACTCCATAAAATATTATACTTTCCGCATCCTTTCTATTGTGAAAATAGTATGTGTAGCATTATTCAGTGGAAAGTTTGCAGCTGTCACTTAAGCAGTTTTCCATAAAAAGATGAATCAAAAGATCTATGTCAAATGCAGGAAATCAAATTCCAGACAGTTCAAATTAATATATATGTTTATTTGTTGCTAAAGCACACAATAAGAATCTGAATCTAAGCCAAAGGGAGTTGGCGGTAGATAAGTCAATGGAATTCAAGATATCTTGTGGGCACAAAGGGACTTGAGACTGATGACACTTTTGACCCCTCCCTTGGGTTCAGCCTACTATTCCAGAATTATTAAAGAGATGTCTATCTGCTGTCCCCACACCCCATATATTTTTATATTCCTGACTGCCTTGCGTCAATTTTATAAGAGATGGTGTTACCTCCAAGTATGAAATCAACATATATATTTGTTACTATTCAGCAAGGAAATATCAGCTTGTTATTTTATAATCCAATTGTTTACAACACGATATTGGAGAGAAGAGAGAAATAAACGCTTGTGTGAGTCAACTGATAATTTTATTCTCAATAAGTTAGTGTCTCCCTGAAATTAAATAGAGTAGTAATTCCTGTGATCATAAGTGTGTGATAGAATATCCTAACAAAATTCCTTATGTCATGTCAAAGATGATCCATCTCTTGTACTATCCACACTGATTGGAAATGTGGGATGCATTCATTCTGGAGATTCAGAAAATTGAACGTCAGACCATATGCTTGCCAGACAAATGCTATGCCACTGAATTATAGCAGAAGTACCTGAAGCACAGCAAAGAAGAGGGAAAGAAAGATTCTTGATATAAAAACAAAGAAAACCAAGAATTAGTGAGCCAAGAAAAGGAATATTATTCCTTCATGCTGGTACAGATGTATAATAGCATAAAAATGTCAGGCTATCAGACAAATCAGTACCGTTGCCAGGTATGCTAATTATCAAGTTAATTGTTCAGAATGAAATCCTACGTAACAAACAATCCCCACCCCCGAATTTCCTTTAACCTGCAGTATTTTGCATGTAATGATATACAAGTAAAGTATAAAAATTTCCATGTATTAATTAGAGACATGAGGGACGGTGAGATAGGAAGAAGAGAAAGATGTGTGTGCTTTTAAATTTTTTTATCTCAACATCATTCAAGTACTTATGTCTTTGTGAACACACAAACGCACACACACACACACACATCCTTTTCTTTCCTTTTTCTTGTTAGCTTATATCTTATATTT